TTGTTTCATAATACATTTTATTTATATAACCCTTTTGCTGATTTTTAAAGTGTAACATAAACAGGACAGGACAGGTGAAATATTATCATGTAAAGCAACCATAAACACATGAAAAGACCTAGGTTTACAATTTATGATTAAAACTCTACTATCTACACAATATACATGGACATAAAATGTAAAAACTTAAATATCTTAGAAACAGTAGCCAATCAGTTGTTTTAATTGTCATATTTGAATTCAGCACATCAAAATACATAATAAATAGCACATCTCTGAAGCAGACGACTTCTCAAAAATCGTAGACCAGTGTTATCTATGTATGTAGGTCTATATGAAAAGTGCTCAGTGCAATGGGCTCCTAACCTTGATTGGGGCCTCAAGACACCACTGCAATTTAAATAAAAAAGGGTCAGGTTCACTATGTGCAGCATAAGATACTTCAACACACAATTAGAGAGTAAATTAAAATTATTTATGATTCCCCATTATAGCTATGAAGATGATTATACTGAAGAATGCCCAGTTTATGGCAACCTCAATCAGGAGATTTTAGGTAAGATATCTTATTCTAAGAACTTATTAAAATCAACATACATTACTTAGAGTCAGAATGATTAACATCCTTTATGAATGGCTCTTAAAACATGAATTTCTGAAGCACTGTTTGTTGATAAAATGGATACACACTTGTTCCAGTTACAGGGGAGAGAAGCAGTGAACCTCCAGTTGCTCATTTTAAAACCAAAATGTGTTAATTCCCATAATATTAACCTAGAACCTGGGATTGTGCTGAGACAGTGGATTGACTAGTGCAAACTGAGTTTGCTATTTTACTCTCCAGACATTAAGATATGTGAATGAAGAGGGCTATTTAAAGGTTCTCAAAAGCACGTAAGGGCTAGTCTAGTCTACATGCAGAGTTGCACCAGTTTAACTAAAGGTGCAATGTTAAACCAGTACAAAAGGCTGCGTGGACTTATTTCAGATTCAACTAGGCTTATTTTGTTTTTTTCTTAGAGAGATTAGCAATAGGTTTAAACTAAACTCAAAGAAGACACAGTGTTCACAAGGGGGTTTACACCAGTCTAACTAGAACCAGTGCAAATTTGTGTTCACACCTTCAGCCTCAAAACTGCTCTGTGAGGGAAGATGTCCATGTTATCAGGGCATAAAATGAGGCATGAAAAGAAAAGGTAACTTGGCCCAAATTCATAGAAAGTTAGTGGCAAAGCAAGGAATAATACCTTGTCATTTTGCCCCCTCCCCCAGGCCCTGCCGTTACTCTAACCCTGACTCCGGGTATTTCTCTTACCCAGGTACTGTCCCTTCTCAGCTATATTTAGCTTGTGAGACCTGACAAGTTACATGGCGACTGGCACTATCAAGTCTGTCAATGTTTTAAGTTATCCCATAATTAAAAGTTCCAGTAAAACTTTTTCTGGACAACCTAATACTGTCCAATAATGTGATACCGTGAAAATAAACTCTACCCAGGGATTTCCTAGCTTTTTATTTCCTGGCAGCCGGGAGAGTGAGAAAAGGAATATAGTTTAGAACCTGAACTTCCACTAAAGTAGATTTGGAGAATTGAGTTCTATAACAGGGTATCGGTTTACTCTTTAATCAGAGGAAGAATCTAACCACTATGAAATTTTTTCCATTTCTAATCATCTCTAGATGAATGTTGCTATGAACAAATGAAGGCCCACCCGCGGAGAAACGCTAATGAAGTAAAGGTACCCTTATTTATATTCTTGCTCTTAGCCTTCTGCATTAAGGAAGGCACTTTGCCTCAGAGCTCCTCACATGTACACAATGGCAGAATATAACCCAATACTTCAGTCTTCTCCTTACAAAAATGGACACACCAATTCAGCAGAGCACTTAAGCATGTATGTAGGGTGTTTTGCTCCATCAGGACCTTAATTGAGGAAGTCTGAGGATTGCAAGCAGCTAAGTACCAGTCAGATGTGTCAAACTTGTCAATTCATCCATTAGTCTGATGAAAGATTACATGTTGAAGTCATTTTAGTATTTTGATTACCAATGTTTTGTAATGTGCTCAGCCATGTAGTATTAGGATACTGTATTAAAAACTAGAAAACCAGGATTTTTGGTTATGTGGAAGACATATCCACTACTATAAATTCAGCAATGGCCTGAAATTAAAAATGTTGCTAACCATTGCTAATAAGAAGTTGCCAAATAAGTTGCAAGCTGAAAAACATGGTAATCATGAATTCATTAGGGATAGAGTTCTATATTTGATTATCTCTAACATGCCCAGTACAAGTACCCTAAAAACGTAAGGCCCAGAGTCAATACCACACCCTGTGGCCAACACCACACATCCTCCCTACTCCCAAAGCAAAACCGGTGTAGGATTTTGCACACCCTGCAAAAAAACTGGCATCCGAGTTAACTCTTTACTAAATACCAGGATAGGGAAAAGAAGAAACAGGGTTGGGAAACCATCTAGTGATGTCTCTGATCCCAAAAATTTGGGGTTGACTTATACCAGTAACTCCTAAAGTGGGGTTCCCACACTCCTGGGTGTCCACCCTGGGTTATGCAGGGGTCTGTCCCTTGAACCAGGCCAGAACACAACAGCATTCTGGCACTTTTGCCGCACAGAGAACAAAATGGCATCCTCTGCATAGCATGACCTCACACATGCTGTGAGAGAGAGGTCACATTGGCAGATATGTTCCAATAGTACCAGAAACGAAAGGGGTCCAGGACATTTAGTCAGATGCCAAAGGGGTCCTTGGCAGAAAATAACTTGCAAACCACTGACTTTTACAATACACCCCTCATCCTTCAAAACTGAAACATCTCACAAGAACACTATGCTGAAGGTTCCAGACTGGTGGGTTGCCTTAAGAAGCTGAAAATCTTAAAAGGTGTAGTGATTAAGAAAAGGATTAAAAACTGAACAAAAATGATTTTCCTCTCAGGTGGACGCTGAAGGTCAGATGTGCTATGCCTCCCTCGATCACAGCATCAAGGAAAAACACAGGAAGCCTAGGAAAAAGAAAGCTCCTCCGTTAGAAGTGAATGAAGAAGAGATGCCATCTAAAAACAGCACCCTGGCTTCCCAAACTAGCATTTATCTCAACAGTGACCAGCTGGCCGCTGAAAATAAATCAACAGAGGAAGCCATTCATGATGACCCTATCAGACTGTTTGGGTTGATTCATGCAACATAGGAAAAGACTCCTAAAGAGGATCCCTGATCCAAATGATCACACAAGATAAAATAGATCTTTCACTTGTTTATGTTGGGGGAAAGAGACTGAATAAATAGTATCCTGAATTTGGGAGAATAGCTTGGCAAATGAAACACTGATCAATGGTATAAATGGGTAAGTGATGCATTCAAATTGCTGGGCATAACTGCAAACTAATTTAGGTCAGCAGGTAGCAGGATTTTAGACACAGACTGCTAATTTTTAAAGCAACCCAAAGAAGAGCTGGCCGCCTTCATATGTATCTATTTTGTAAAGGAGTTACAAGAGCCAAGTATCTCTCAGAATTTGCCCCCAAATTAGCAATTATCCTGCATACTTTATAGCAGGACTTACTTCTTCATTTCTGTTGTCCATGGATCCCACTTCAAGGGATCTAAAATGGGCCACATGGCCCTCTGTAGAAAGCTAGCATATTTTGTCTGTTATTCTATGTTGTTTCAGAAGTAGTTTGGGAAATCATCAGAGGCACTTTAAGACTGACATATTTAATAGTTAAAACTTGTTCTGCTGTTCAATATTTAATACTTTGCTACTGTGACCTGCAGGAATATTTAAGGTTAATTAGAAAATAATGTAACTGCTTCAGTTCATTTCATTAGTGCTTTGTACATCCAGCAAATTTAATGATATCCCTTGTATACTCTTAGCTTCCTATGGTGAACAGTACTAGAATCTCAAATCTCTACTTCTGTACCAATAACATTTTATCGGTCTGTATTCAACAGTCTATAAAAGAAAGTGGCAAATGATCTGTAAAAATAAGCCTCTTGAGGAGGACAGAATGATTTCTACTGGGTTTTACATTGTCACTGTAAAAACTATTTTAGGAAGACTGGGGAATAAAAAGACTTTTCCTAACAATTCAGTAACTATATGCATACGTCATGCTTAAAACTTACAGCACAATTTTAGTTTGAAAGCTCTTTGGGTGCAAAGACTAATTTTATGTATGGCACATTTTGTGTGCTTTGTAAATAGTAATAGTAGCAAACAATAACACACCACTGCTATAATGCTGCTGCATCTGGGTGCCAGGGCAAAGGGGTAGATTTTTCCCATATAAAAAGCATAATGGGCTGTGGTGCCAAAGAAAAGCAGAAAGAACTTGATTGCTCAAGGTCCCATTTAAAAGCAACACACAAATTAACTTGCTTTCCTAGAAACTATTTCATTCTAAGTGAGATGTAGACAACTAATGTTACAGAGGCAGAAATAACGCTAGTATGGAATCAATAGAAAATACATGAAGCATTATAAGAAAACAATTCCCCAGGCTAATACCTCCCTGCCCCCCCAAAAGAGGTAAACCTGAACCTAAACACAGGAACATCAGAACAAGAAATGCTATCTTAATCTGGTCACCTTAGTTACCATAGTCAAGTGAGATTGAATCAAAGTAAAGACTGAGCCTTATATCAACAAGCTCTTGGCCCCATGAGCCAAAAAAGTTTTGAACAGCATCTCTGTTAATGGTAAGGTGACCAGATATCCCAATTTTATAGGGACAGTCCCAATTTGTGTGTCTTTTTCTTATATAGGGTCCTATTAACCCCCCCACCTCCTGTCCCGATTTTTCACATTTGCTGTCTGGTCACCCTAGTTAATGAGGAGATGTAAAATAAGTATTTCAACTAAGCTTACACACCAAACAGATCTAGTACCAAGCCCCTTCAAGGTGATTACAAGTAAGGCTTATCTAACTAATTAGACAAGCAAACAGCCCCCAGGACAAGTATTCATGTTGTCACATTTATATTATACAGGGAATACAAAATAAGGAATATAATATTCTCAGTGAATACAATTTATGAAGCCTTTCATCTAAATAAAGATTGGCCAGGGTCTGTTACTCCCTATGTTTCTCTCACTTTTTCAAAGGGCACTCCTACCCCACATTACCCACTTCCTGGCTAGATAGCTCTGCTGAGACCTGCCTTAGCTTCTATTTAACTCAGTCTCCCTTAAAAAGTCCACACAGGCCAGATATTCAGAACATTCCCCCCTCCTAGGGTCCAGTTTATTAAAACCTGCAGAAAGTCTTTCAAAAGAAAACTCAAGACTTACAATCTCTTCATCTCAGTTTCAGCTGGGACCAGTCCCTCCTCCCTGAGGCTCTGTCTTTCCTATAGAGTTCCAGTACTGTTCACCTCCTGTGCTGTGCTGTGCTGTGCTAAGCTAAGCATAGCACAGCCAGCCTTCCAGGAGGCCTGAAGGATAGCCTTTTCCATTGCTACCTTCCTCCTACTGATTAACAGCCCAGCCAGGGCCTTCTTATGCCCTACAGTGCCTGTAACTGCTGCTAATCTGCAGCTGTCTAGCCCTTTGTAAGGCCCAGGTGCCTTCCCTTAAGCACAACTGGGCAGCAGGTAATCAGTCCAGGTGCACTGGACCCCACACTCCCTCTCGAAGGGGCCAGTGACATTGTAACACACTGCTTGTACTCTGTGCATGGAGTGTATCTTTGGCTTCCCTCTCTCACGCTGAAAATTCCAAGTGTCTGATAATCAAGGTTCAGAGAACTTTATCAAGGCCCCAATTCCACAAAGCACTTATGCTTAATGCCCATTCAAGTCAGTGGCATTTAAGCACTTGCTACACTTAAGGGCATGTACTTAAAGTCCTTTACTGAGTTGGTGCCTAAGTCAGTACACTTGGTTCCCTCTGTGGCATTGTCAGTCTTCACTGATTTCAGTCAAGTTATGACAATTTACACCAACATAGGGCCTGCAATATTCTTTTACTTGTCCCTTCGCAGTTTGGTGGGAGAAGTGTAGATGGAACTTATCAGAGATTCTCTCCCGCACTTAGCTTTCCCTTCCTGGCTGATCACTGCAATGGTTAAATTATCTACCGTTGTCACCACAGCCTCCATTTTAAGATAAATATCCGTAACGTTCATGTCAATAATACACTGAGACACTTCTACTGTTGCTGTGTGAGATAGAGATTTTTTTCTCCCCAGGCTGCAGATATCTATATAATGAAGCATTTTGCTGGCTCTTTGGTCTCAGGTTCACTTTTTAACCTGGACTAAGCCTGTTGCGTTTAGGCACTACATCCCAGAAAGCCATAACCTGGCCCAGCAATAGCCTTTGTTGTTTTTTTTTGTGATAGTGGTTTTTTGGGGGTTGCTGAATGCCTCTTAAAAACAAGCTGTCTGGCAGAGAATTCTTCCCTGCTCTTTAGGCAACATATCACCTAGTGGACCTGACGTAACTTTTGGTGTTATTGATTAAATATTTTGGTGTTATTGATTAAATGTTATATAATTACAATGAACTATACAAGTGAATTTATTAGGATAATGTTAAGAATAAACACTTGCGCTATTTAAATATTTTACAATGTTAATAACAAACTTTTAAAATGATACAGTATAGTCTGAAACCACCTTCATCATATCAAAAGCATTTTTGACATTCATTGAAGTCAAAAGAAAAAGAAACAAAGAGAGGAAAAAGAACAAAACCATACTGAACAGGGGAAAGATGACTAAGACAAGAGATGGCAGACCAGACAGAAAAGGTACCATGTAGAGCCAAGATGTCATACAGATATCACCCGTCTAGTCTATAAGTTTTTCAACAGTGTCACCTGGCACATTAATAGAGCTCCCTGGATACATCACCATTTCTTAGATAGTAGATAGAACTAAATATTGAAAAACAAATGACAAAGAATTCCACAATTTTTGTTATGCGCTACTCTCAGCATCCTCAATCGGGAACTGCTAGCTTCTTTCACTTACAGAAATTAATATCAGATACAGGATCAAACAAATGCCTCGAGGTTTTTCCTGGACCACTTCTCTAGAATTCTAGTCTGTTGGGACAAGTATGTTGGAATATATCTACTTAAACTCAATCTGATAGCTTCTCTCTAAATAATTTCTACTATAGCTTAACTGAGTAAGAATTGTACAATACTGCTAGGTAGGAATGGACATCACCTTCTATCACCTGTATTGGAAATATTACCCCTAGAACAGCCAGGGCCCATCCAAGGAACATATTGAAATCTACTTTAAAGATGTTTCAGAAGAGTTAAAACAAAAGAAGATAAATTATGCATGCAATATTTCAAGGATGGAGAGGATTTGGGATCATTGAGTGGGGAAGAATTTTATTTTAAAAGATCCATTGGAAAGGGTATTTGTAGAGCATATCAACTACTATTCATGTGTGTTTAGAACAGGAAGAAACATCAGCCAACAAAAAATATATAAGAAAGAATTGTTTGTGTTTATTGTTAAAAGACAGATATCATCCCATGGAAGAATCCAGTGTTCCTAAAGTCAAAAAAACCCACCCAGTGAATGGAATCTTATAACTGATTTATGTTCCTTTGTGCCATATCACCTATCCTGGGGGGTATAGCAAACAAAAAGAGAGCGCTTGAGATTGGGATGAAGGACTTCTAAAACTACATGCACAAGAGCCTTTTCTACTACTAAGATTAGCGACAACTTAGCAATGCTTTCTGTAATATTCAGGAGAGGTTCTGCCTACCTTTCACTCGATTATTTTCCCAATAAAATTATCTTTAAAGTCAATATGAACTGGGTAGCTGAACTGTTAGCTGGGGAGAGTTGTTGCCCTTAGAACAAGTTTTCTGGTTTCTCAAAAAACAGATGAGAAGTCTCGCATCTTACACTGAAATTGAAAGCTCTTCTGGGTTAGGACCATCTTTTTGTACTGGGGCTCCAAGGTACTACAGTAATATATACATGCAACCAACCAACCAACCAGATGACTACCTCGGTACAAAGTCACATGCATACGGAACACTGGTTTTCCTTCCTAAGGAGTGCAACAATGGCCAGTTAGGGTTATTGTGGACACAGAATGTATGTGCATGTGACCTAATGGGCACCAGGAACCTTAAAATGATTCCTCTAACTTTTAGGAAGCAGCATCAAACCTCCCAGGACCTGTTGGGAAAGAGAAGCATGCTCCTGTGGCCTGAAAGAGGGCTGTAATAAAGCTGCTGTGCTTGCAGCAGTTATACTAGCAATTACATTAGAACAATCTCCCTGCCAAGAAAGGAACAGGAAGTGGAGCCATGAAAAACAAAACAAAGACCCACAACACAATGAAGTGCTTGCAACAGCTAGAAAGTTTTCTTCATGGAGCAGAAAAGATTACCCAGCAATGACAGCTAAGCCAAAACGTGCACCAGCTGAAGTGATGTGCTCTGTAAATCTGGGAGAGCATTTGCCCTTGAAGTACCTACCAAACATGGGGTCACTAGCATGTTATTTTTTCTGTGCTATAGAGTATGTGGACCCTTATTACATCACATTAGCATGAGGAAATTGTCATTTGTAAGACTGGGAATGATGAAATTGCAACACCAAGTTCATATTTAGTAGTGCTGTCGATTAATTGCAGTTAACTAACGTGATTAACTCAAAAAAATTAATCACGATTAATCGCAGTTTTAATCACACTGTTAAACAATAGACTACCAATTGAAATTTATTAATTTTTTGGGGATGTTTTTCTATATATTCAGATATATTGATTTCAATTACGACACAGAATACAAAGTGTACCCTGCTCACTTTACATTATTTTTTATTACAAATATTTGCATTGTAAAAATGAGCTCTGATTTTCAGTGCCCAGCAGCACCTAGGCCCAGAACAGTCATTAGAGGGAGTGTCCTGCTTAGCCTGCATAGCCCTGAGCTGGAACATGCTCAGTCACTCTATGAGGATGACTAGGGTCCAACCAAAGTCATGGCCATGAAAAACAAGTCAAGGACCATGAAATCGGGTCTTCTGTGTGCTTTTATTCTATACCGTACAGATTTCACAGGGAGACCAATGTTTCTCAAATTGGGGGGTCCTGACCCAAAAGGGAGTTGCGGGGGGTGGGGGGGAGGGTGTCACAGTATTGCCATCCTTACTTCTGCATTGTCTTCAGAGCTGGGCAGACAGAGAGTGGCGACTGTTGAATAATTTGGCTGAAATTTTTCAAAACTCAGCCTGAGGCAAACATTCAGCATAGAAAATTTCAGCTTGAAAGATTTGGTTGCTATAAGTAACTGAAAACAGGGTCTTATAACAGGAAGTGTTGGGAAATCTTAATAAGCAATGATACCAACCACACCTACCGTGTAAGCACTCATTTCAAGCTTTGTTTAAATCCACATTTCTGAACCTTTTGGAGCATTCGTCTGACCTCCATTCACTAACAATTTGCACTTTGAAGAGTTCAGATTTAAAAACAGGACTTAAAAATATCCCATAGTAAAAATGTATACAATTAGGGCTGTAGATTAATAGCAGTTAACTCACGCGATTAATCAAAAAAAATTAATCGCGATTAATCGCAATTTTAATCGCACTGTTAAACAATAGATTACCAATTGAAATTTATTAAATACTTTGGATGTTTCTCTACATTTTCATATATATTGTATTCTGCGTTGTAATTGAAATCAAAGTGTGGATTATTTATGATTATAAATATTTGCACTGTAAAAATGATAAAAGAAATAGCATTTTTCAGTTCACCTCATACAAGTACTGAATTGCAATCTCTATCGGGAAAAGGCAACTTATAAATGTAGATTTTTTTTGTTACATAGCTGCATTAAAAAACAAAACAATGCAAAACTTTAGCACCTACAAGTCCACTCAGTCCTACTTCTGATTCAGCCAATCGCAAAGACAAACAAGTTTGTTTACATTTACAGGAGATAATGCTGCCCACTTCTTATTTACAATGTCACCTGAAAGTGAGAACAGGCGTTCACATGACACTTTTGTAGCCGGCATTGCAAGATATTTACATGC